GAACGGTTTCCGGGTAACGGAAATTGCCAAAAAGACCCCAAATTGCCGAACATCGTAGTCGCTACACTAAACACACACAAAAAATATGGGTCATGACCCCACTGGAGTCACCCTGCCACACCCCCCCCCCCCCTTTTTTAAAATCATTTTACGGAAGCCACTCAGAAATTCATAAAAACTTTTTTATCTAAATTTTGGGATTCTTTTTTTTTTTTTTACATAAAGATATTTGAACAAAGTGAAGCATTCAATGGAATACATTCCCCAGGGCCTTTGAAAAAACATGTATCTGGTAACTCATGACCATATGACCTCTATCACTTAGGCTTCACGTAACCTCCACCACTGAGCTTTACTGGAAAACCTGACATCAACTTGACTTTAAAAAGCTATTTGACTCAAAGGAAAATCCCCCTGAATGCTATATTTAGTAAATGTCTTCATATCCGTATCCCCTTAACGTTTGGGCAGGTGTGAACTTAGCTAATAGCATTAAATATAAACAGGTAACTACAGATAAGTCAGAAAAGTGACATTTATGGGGAACTGAACCCAACCAGAATTGTCAGTTTTGTGGCTTCTCAGGCAAAAGGGTTAAAGAAAAATGTGACTTGTATGACCTTTAGGAGATCACAAATTAAACTTAGCATTTACTGGCTGTCTTCCTTTAAAGTTGGAGCGCACTTGCCTGAGAGGCAAGAAGCCAACAGTATGTTTACAACTAAGCCAGATCTGTATAACAGATGTGCATACAAAATTCAAATTCTGGGACAGGACTTAAGTCCAGCAGAAATGGATGGACAACCAGATCTTTCTACCGGAGTTTACAGCCAGTGTACGCAAAGAAAGAAGAGACTGGCTGCTATGTAGTTCGACTAGGCGGTGTTACGCTCAGAAGTCTGCCATTGCTTTCTGAACCATAAAATGTTGAAATCAACACACACTGGTCTGTTACCAAATCACTTGCAGCTGACTCCAGATCCAAGGATGTCAGAATTGTGAAACTGTATTCCCAACCCTAAAGACACAAATGTGTACAATACAAACTGCTTAAAAAAAAATCTCACCTGAATAACAGTACGAGGAGAGTTTGAAGTATACCACAGAGGAATGCCGAACACACTAACAAGGGCTGTCTTCTTGTAGTAAGTCTCTGAGCATCGGATACTTATGACACTGCCACCTGAATGTGAAATGTTACAACTGTTATCATCTATCTATAACATGTATTGAGTTATTCATATGTTTAACTTCAGCCTTGCAAACAGTAAACATACAAGTTAGCTTGGGTCAGTCTTGAAAAGCTTGGGTCAGTCTTGAAAACAGTAAACACACAAGTTAGCTTGGGTAGGTCTTTAAAACAGTACACATGCAAGTTAGCTTGGGTCAGTCTTGAAAACAGTAAACATGCAAGTTAGCTTGAGCCAGCCAACAGTCTGCTTATAAATAAGCCAGATATTAAAGTGGATGAGCACATAAAACTCCAAAGTCCAGAACTGGACGAACAACCAGAACGTTCGGCCGGAACAGCTGCCACTGTTGGAAGTGTTCATTCTTTATTCTGTAGAAACCTGAATAAAGCACCATTGTCCAGGCTTTCTTGTGTACTGGGTATATAGTGCTAGACCTATATTTTATAGATCAACCGGCAATCAGTGGGCCGTCTTTACTTCCCAGAACTTTACCTGCTCCCATTTAAGGGATCCAAGGTTAAAAAAATTTTTTTTAAAGTCTAGCCCAGTTCAGATTTCAACACATGACCTTCAGATCCGCAGTCGAGTGTCTTAGCCATAAAACCACAGCAGTTCCCAAAAAGCTGAGTATATTTCTTATAATTGTTTTAAAAAGGGGGGAGGAGAGAGAAGAGAGGGAAAAAGACAGGCTAATTGAGTATGTCATATTTTTTTTTTCAACATGGAGAGAAACAAATGATAAGAATCTTAAAATGTTTGCTACTGCTTTCTGACTGTACAATGCTCATACCATTATCAAGACCAACCCAAAGCCATCTGTTGCAAAAAATTACCCATTGCTGACTTTGAACCCTTGCATGTCTAGATTGTGAAACTGCATTCCCCACACTTAAACCAATGGCAAGAATTCCCCGTGTGGGTTCCAGGGCCCCATTTGTGGGGGGGGGGGGAGGAAGAACAGAATCACTGCCCCTCTAACAAGCATGTCGTACAAGGTGACTAATCAGGGATGTTTCCTTTAAAGCGGGAGTGCACCAGCGTGAGAAATAAGGAACCAACAGTCTGCACACAATCAAACCAGATCTGTAAAATGAATGTGCATGTAAAAACTCAAGTTCTGGAACAGGACTAAAGTCTAGAAGTGGATGAACAACCAGGACTTTCTGCCGGAGTTTACAGCCGGTGAATACTAAGAAGAAGAGGAGAGAAAAGACTGATAGAATATTTGTGAGTGAAAAAGATGAACTACATATACTGTGAAATCAATGACCCATACCTGCTGATTCCAAGGCAAAGTCTGCCATCCCTACACGGTCTGCACTGAACTGATTGAGGGCTTCTTCCACGATTGATTTCACTGCCTAAGGAGACAAAAATACCATGAGTATTACTGAAATGAAAACAGCTGTAGACAGAGACAATCAAGATGTTCAGAAGTGAATCAAGAACAGCAGTTTTATAGGAGATTACAAGGGAAGCTGCAACCGTACTCATCTGCCTAATCGTTCATTTTGTTAGTTTATGAATCCTGTTGTTTTGTTTACTGATAAAGACTTTCACCAAAATGTTCAGTTGTATCTATGCAGAACTTTTCATTTCCTTCTGCTGATTTTTCTATTCATAGTGTGGTACCTTACAGCACTTAAGTACTTTAAGCTGTACCTAAGTACCCCCATCTGCAGTGGAAGACGAGCATTTTTGGGAATGCCCAGTATGCTATGAGGTCGATTCTTAATTCAGTAATCAGTAAGTGCTGTGTTGATTTACTTCTTCGCTAACGCTGTAAGTAACAGTTCATCACTTTATTTGGAGGTGGCTAGAACAGCAGCAGTTCAACAAAGTTAAACCAGAAAGGATAGTGATTCGAGTCCCTCGACTGATGCGGCCCAATTTAACTGCCACAACGCCTGAGAACACTCCGTGTCAAACTGGCCTTATCACTTACATATTCATAAATCATATACTACTTAGGAAATAAAAAAACTGGCCATCATCATCTGCAATGAATTAACAACAACATTCACATACAAAGTAAAGTCAGCTTCACAATTTATATTTACAATATCACAAAAATTTACATCTTAGTACTGTCTTAGAAGGAAACTATGAGAAAAGTACTATCTTAGAAGGAAACTATGAGAAAGGGAACTGGACAGTGCATCTCATTATGTTGAAGCCAGGAATATGTGAAGGTCTAAACTTCACACCCTAAACCCGAAAGGTGCTCGTGTGGTCCCCACTGAGAGGTGGGGGATAGACACCCCCCCACCCCCCCCCCCCCCCCCCCCTGCTTCTCCAACAAGCATATGGTTAAAGGTGACTAATTTAGTGGTTTGCTGAAATCAGATGTCTTGGGCCAAAAAGGTGAAGATATTGCAGCCTTGCTGTAAACCACAAATCGGTGTATGGAAAATAAAAATGCCCCAAAGGCAGTATTTGCAAAGCCTTTATCTGGTACAGTGTTGGGAATAACACAGAAATGATGAGAATAACAACAGAAAAACAGTGGGAAAATTATGAGGCAAACAAGAGAGGAAAAATTAGAACACTGCAAGAACTGGTGAAAAAATTATGAGAACACTGGAGAAATGATAAGAGCATCACAACAATAATAGCTATAAGGAACATCTTAACATCAGAGAAATGAAAAGATCATAAGAATAATGGAGAATTTATAAAAATAATTCAATAACATTATCAAACATCAGATAACAGCAAGCAAACGAAAGCCACATTTTTAGAACATGCATTTTCCCTGTAGCAACATTTGTACGTGAATTGTGGACTATCATTAAGGAAGCTGAAATGCTACACAATGATTTTTTTAAATACTATGCACTAAGAAGAAAATAAATAACGCCATCCTAAAAGATGTGAACATGAAGGGAAATTGGCTCGTAAAAAGCATCTTGTTTTGGAAACTGAAATATTGAGGACATGTCAAATGTCCTATCACAATGGCTAGGAAAGAACAGTAATGGTGATTGTGGTACTGAGTAAGAGAGGCAGGAGCTGACCTGCATGAAGGTAGGCACAGGACAGAGAAGGCACCTTGGGCAGGAAAGTGCACGAGGCAGCAGAGCTGATGAGGGGCCAAGTTTCTTTCAGGTGACCTGAGATGGGAGCAACCTTCCGTAAAGGACCTGATATATGAGGATGACAATAGAGATAGGGTATGAGCACCACAAAAGCAGTGAAATAAGAATATCACTGGAACAGTGGAGAAATTATATTAGCATCACAAGAACAGAGAAACTGTCGTTACCGATTCGTTCAAACTTGCAATCATCGGTTCCTGGACATCTGCCCTGGCATCAGATTTCTGTTCTGTTTCAGCCTGTGTAACTTTGACATTTCTGATGACTTCTAAAGTGATGGCAGACAGTCTGCTTTCCATTTCAGCTTTATCCACATAATTCTGACCCATCTGGACCACAAGACTGGCCAGTGGACCATCTTTATCTGTGCTCATCTGGAAAAAGACAATCAACAACACTGAGGAGATTTTTCAGATACAACACCATGTGACATGGCACTGCCTTCTTCTTCTTCTTCGTGTTCACCAGCTGTAAACTCCGGCAGAAAGTTCTGGGTCTTCATCCACCTCTGGACTTGTTGCGTGCACATTTATTTTACAGATCTGACTGATTGTAAGCAGACTGTTGGTGCCTTACTTCTCAGGCATATGCACTCTGACTTTAAAGGATGCCCAAAATTATTTTGACTCTTACGACGTGCTTGTTGGGGAGACAGTGGGTCTATTCTTGTTTTTCCCAAAATGGGGACCTGGAACCCAAACGGGAAATGGCACCATCTCATAAGCTATCTCTCCCACTCACCATGGAAGAAAGGTTACTTTGTAACCAATACAACAGTGTTATACGGTGGAACAGGGTTTTTAGGATTTGCTCCTGTTCGAGTCTCATCTGAATAGTGACCCCAACTTTCTTTTTTTTTTTTTGGGACATTCAACAGCTGGAAACTCCGGCAGAAAGTTCTGACTGTTCGTCCACTGCTTGTCCCAGAACTTCACGTTTTAAAAGCACATCTATTTTAAACATCTAGTTTATTTGTATGCAAAATGTTGGTTTCTCACTTTTTATTCAAACGGACTCCGACTTCAAGGAAAACCTCCCTAATTAGTAGACTTGTACAACCTTTTCTCAGGGGGTGGGGAGTCTATTCCCCACTCCCCAATGGGGTCCTGGAACCCACATGGGGAGTTTAAAAAACAACTGACCACTGGGCTAGCCAGCAAGTTTGCTAGTGAGTGCTAACACACTGACCACTGGGCTAGCCAGCAAGTTTGCTAGTGAGTGCTAACACACTGACCACTGGGCTAGCCAGCAAGTGTGCTAGTGAGTGCTAACACACTGACTACTGGGCTAGCAAGCAAATGTGCTAGTGACTGCCAATGCACTAACCACTGGGCTAGCCGGCAAGTGTGCTAGTGAGTGCTAACACATTGACCACTGGGCTAGCAAGCAAACGTGCTAGTGACTGCCAACGCACTAACCACTGGGCTAGCCGGCAAGTGTGCTAGTGAATCCTAACGCACTAACCACTGGGCTAGCCGGCAAGTGTGCTAGTGAATCCTAACGCACTAACCACTGGGCTAGCCGGCAAGTGTGCTAGTGAATGCTAACGCACTGACCACCGGACTAGCAAGCACTCCTGACGAATCTATAAAAGCAGACCCAAATATGTTGGGTTTGAGTCAGCACTGATAGTGATTTTTATACGTGACTGGACTCAGGTCAACCAGAAAATGTCCTCAGATGTAAAGACAGCTGGTGTTCTACCGAACTATTTCCCATCCAGTGATTATTTGTCTATTAAAATATGGGTCTGGCATCACATGTCAAATGTGTCAATGGCTTGAAAAGCAGATTTTACTTTCTTATGAGCTTCTAAACAAAAACTGCTGTAACTTCTTCTGGTTGTCCATCTACCTCTGGACTTTGGTCTTGTTCCAGAACCTGAGTGTTGCATGCGCATCCGTTTTACAGATTTGGCTTATTTTGTATGCAGACTGTTGGTTTCTTGCCTCTCAGGCAGATGCACTCCCACTTCGAAGTAGTCCCTAATTAGTTGACTCTTACAAATTGCTTGTTGGGGAGGTGGTGGGTCTATTCTTGCTTTTCCCCATAGCTGGATGCCGGAACCCACATGGGGGAAAATAAAAGCCTTAACATTGATGGATGATAATAATCATGCCACAATCTTGTAACCTGTCAATATTACTGTTTCAGGATGATAAGTGCTAAGCACATGATGTCATGGTGCAGACAAACAAGGTGACATCAAAATGAGTTAAATATGGCTGCCCTACGCTCGACATGCATGGTTATTGTAGTTTCTATCCCACTTTTAAGTTTTCATTTGAAGCTCCCTTGTACGATGAAATATATATAATACATTTCCAGCAGAAAAGTTGCATACCTGTGACAACAGTGAAAAGACATGAGCTCTGACAATGCCATCCAAGTCGGAACTGTTCCTGCAACAGTTGACGAGACTGCTGCTGAGGGACGCGTACTGCGATGAGAGATGATTCACTTCTTGAGTCAAATTCAACAGCTTATGTTCCAAAGTATGTGATGCTGCCAGCCAGTCAGCGTTCTGACCAGTGAAGCTACAAGACGAGCAGCCATAAAAAATGTTTTACATGTGAATTCAGGGAACAGAACTTTTCCTTCTGAGCATAATGAAAAATAGCTTTAAAAGAAGAAGATAAATATTGGACCTATGTGCAAGTGTACTAAGAGTTTCCACTGTTCAGGCTTCTTTTTAGTGCTCACCAGCAGAAAGTTCTGGTTGTTTGATCACTTCTGCACACTATGAACTTGTTGTTTTCAGTATGGTGTGGTCAGTCCCAGATTTGACGTGTCTTTAGTCTTGTTTCCAGATTTTGAGTTTTACATGTATATCCATTTGACAGATCTGGCTTATTTGTGTGCAGACTGTCGGTTCCTTGCCTCTGCAATGTGACTTTAAAGGAAACATCCCTAATTAGTTGCCTCCCAGACATGCTTGTCTGGGAGGGGGGTGGGGGAAGAGGGACAATCCTTTGTTCCCTAAAATGTGTTTGTGTGTGTGTGTGCATGCGCACGCGTATGAGCAGAAAGAACTGAACTTTCCTGTGTGGGTTCCGGAGCACCACTGTGGGGACAGCAACAACAGACCTTCTGCCTCCCCAAAAAGCATGTCTAAAGAGTCGACTAACTGTGTGTTTCCTTTGAAGACAGAGTGCATCTGTAAGAAACCAACACTCTGCATACACATAAGTCAGACCTGTTAAATGAATGTGCACACAACACTTAGGCTCTGGAACAAGAGTGAAGTCCAGAGCTGGACGAACAACCAGAACTTTCCATTGGAGTTTACAGCCTGTGAACACGAAGAAGAAGACTGTGAACTGCAGTTATAGAATGAACTTTATTATCTGGGCAACATTTCTGGCAGGTGGCCAGTCGGTCGTGCTGTGGAGACAGACAGGGCCAGATGGGATCAAAACCTGGTGCCATGAACCTTTTTGCCTTCATTCACTGTGTGTTGCTAAATTTAAAACAAGTAAACTAAAGCCACAAACATTGCCAAGAGGCAAGAGCTTGTATATCTTCATGCTTTCACTTTATTGTCACCTGAAAGTTTCTTACCTAAACAAACACTAGTGGTAGTCGCTGTGGCGTAGCAGCTAGACACTCGCGTGCGGATTGGAAGGTCGTGGTTTCTTTCTCCAAAAATGACCTCAACTCCCAGGTTGACCCAGCCTTAACCCTACCAGACCGCTGGCCCGGTTTACCGGGAATTTCTTCACCTGTCTCTATACCGCTGGCCCTCATTTTCGGCTTTTTGCGTAGTACAGGAAAACGATGCGTCACGGACTAAAAATAACCACCCAATCATTATCAATCCTCTTTTTTAGACATTGCAAATGTCTGCCCGCATGTGTTTGGATTATATTTGTGTTGTTTTACGTGGACAAATTCTGAAAATTCAAAATGAAACAAGTGGCTGATGAACCAAGTTCTAGGCTTTTCAAGTCCAACAGGTGATCGTTACTTTGGTTTATTTAGACTGTGATATATATTTATATATATATTTATATATTTATGTATATATGTATATATATATGTATATATATATGTATATATATATATATATATATATATATATATATATATATATATATATATATATATATATATATATATATATATATATATATATATATATATATATATATATATATATATATATATATATTCATTATCTGTGATAATTTCATAAAGAATACATTCTTGAATTGACACTGTCAGTGAGAGCGCGAATGATGAGGAAAATCTTAAAAATTATAAATTCTTGAAATAGGTCGATAGTAGAAGGGGGTGTGTCCATCAAATGGCAACATCTGGTGTTCACTTTGTGAAACAAAGTTGATCCTGATGAGTGAATTCGCACACAAAGGTGGAATATTGGTGCTAGATAAAAGGCAAGCCTATTTTCTACAATGTCTCCAAGTTTCATCATATTCTAGCCACTCGTTTGCATGTAACAAATATTTTGATGGCAAGAGATAAGGGGACAGTGTGAGTTAGTTGAAAGTATATAAGGTGATGGCAAGAGATAGGGGACAGTGTGAATTAGTTGAAAGCCTATGCTTTATTGGGGGATAAAAGGCAGAAGAAAATGGAACAAACAAAACACTACACATTCAGTTTTACCCTTCAAATGAACCAGGGGCTTGATTTATCTTGTCAGTCAACATCTGCAACAGTGAGAGACAATACTGTCAGTTATATTCATAAATGAAAATTTAGAAGACAAACTGAAATCAGTATAGAATTTATTAAAGAGCTACAGGTGGGATAATTTGGCCTCTTGATGAGAATGCCCTGGTACCAACGGTCACTGATAGCCATAATGAAGAAATATGAAAACAGGGCAAAAGATAAATAATGTCATCAAAAGAACCTTAGTAAAATGAAGACAAAATTATGTAGCACTTTGCCAAGGCCACTGGAAGAAGACAAGAAGAAAGTGTATAACACTCCCAAATATTAGCTCTATAAAGTTAGGTCACATCTGTGTATATGCTCTTTGTGATACACTTCTGTTGCTATCAAAGAAAGTGAACACACACAAAAACTGGCACACATATTCAGTAGAAATTACTGACTATCCAGGAATAAGATAAAGATAAAAATATTCTCAAACTGTAGCTAAAACAATTCCTCATGAAGAACAGGCATAAACTCTTCAAATAAAGCACCCCTTCCCCATTCCACCCACAACATGCACGCACTTACACACACAAAGATTAATATAACAGATAAAATGACAAATACTTGCCTGATGTGCCCCAACAACTGTTCTGATCTCAGCCTCCAGCCCTGTTACTTTCTGCAGCAGTGAGGTTATTTCTCCCTGCAGTAGGATCTAGGAATCAACATGATAACATTATTCTCTATAAACCTGCCACTAATAATTGTATACAACTTTTCAATGTTTTGAAACATGAAGGACAAGGATGGCAAGAACAGTTTTGTTACTTCCAGCGTGAAAAAAAATAAAAATAACAACTAAGCCAGGTACTACAAAAATATGCATGCAATAATATTCAACTGCTGTACAATTAAACAAAATCCATGTACTTTTATAGCAACCTATTCCTAAACTATGATCAAAATTAGTTAAATTATTAATAAAGAAATTGAGACAAGACTAGCTAGAAGGGAATACAGGCAGAGGGAAATCAAGAGAGAAAATGTGGGATAGTCTGGCATTATTGTATGGAAGAACGTTGGCATCAGAAATGAAATACAGTACATAAGACAATACGCTGTATATATCTTCTTCTTCTTCTTTGCGTTCACCAGCTGTAAACTCTGGTAGAAAGTTTTGGTTGTTCGTTCAATTTTGGACTGCAGTCCTGTTCCAGAACCTGAGTGTTGCGTGTGCATCCATTTGACAGATCTGACACATTTGTGTGCAAACTGTTGGACCTTTGCCTCTCAGGCAGATGAACTCTGACTTCGACGGAAGCTCCTAATTAGTCGACTCTTATGACATGCTTTTGGACAGGCAGTGAGTCTATTCTTGTTTTCCCAATAATAGGGCCCAAGAACCCACAAAGGGGGCTGTATATATGAAGCCAATGTCACATGGCATGGCCTTTAAGAAGAAACTCAACTGTTTCTCTTGTGTAAGCATCCCCCCCCCCAAAAAAAAAATTACAAGCATACTGATACATGCACAGACAAACTTAAAAGCAAAGTAAGCAAATGCTCCTGTCTTCTTCTTTCTTTTTCTTTGCGTTCATCGGCTTGTTAACTCCGGCGGAAAGTTCTGGTTGTTTATCCATCTCTCGACTGTAGTCTTGTTCTGAACATGAGTGTTGCATGCACATCAGTTTTACAGATCTGACTTATTTTTATGCAGACTGCTGGTTTGCTAGCTCTCACGCAAATGCACTATGACTTCAAAGGAAGCCCCTAATTAGTCGACTCCTACGACATGCTTGTTGGGGAGGCAGTGGGGGCGATTCTTGTTTTCAACATAATGGGCACGGAACCTGCACGGGTGCTAAACCCATATTTTAAAAATTGGCACTCAATTGGTAATGTGCACAAACATCAACGGCCTTTACTTCTCAGGACATTTACTGGTACCCATTTTAGACTGGGCCACCCTGGGGGACCAGATCAACTATACAAATCTACCACGATGTGGTTTCCAAATTGTATAAAAACAACACAAAAATAATACCTTTAACGCTTCCACTTGTCCCTGCATAACTGTGGCTATTTCCTGCACACTGCTGGCCAACAAACCCTTCACTATAGCTTCCACCTGTTCTTTAGTCAGCCCATGCTGTCCGCTCTCCTTACTGGAGGCTGCCGATGCAGCATTAATTTGCTGAATGAACTCATAGATCTGTGTCATGTTCATCTGATGTGCTGCCTCTGTGTTCGATGTCTGGAGCGGAAACTGGTTTTGGAGAAGCTGGTGGAGAACTCTAGATCGGCAAACAGACACTTAGGATATTATTACTAACGTCTTTTTCAAAAATATTTGTCTCCTTCTCTAGTTACTAGGTGAATGAAAGAAACAAACGAACGAATGAACAAACTTTACTTTCAAAGGTTTAAGCCCGTCTGACATTGTGCTTTTCTAGTTTTCCTCCTTTCATACATCAAGTAATAGTAAACATTATCATCAGCATCGAAGTATTAAATAGAAGCACTGGAATGTGCACATTTCCAACTACAGTGAACCGCAGTAATTGTAATAAATCTAGGAAAAATATGCACTTTTCTAAAATACTTTTATATGTTATGGGGATATGCAATTTGTGCTCAGATAATATTCAAAAGGTTTCTGATTGCATGAATAGGGGCAAGTCATATTTTTTTTTTATGGAAGATAGTTCCACAACTGAGTTGTGGAGTATGCTTAACTTGTTTTGCATAAGTCTATCCTAGGTTTAGGTATATGTAATATATTTAGGCATTTACTATGCAGACAGGAGACACATACATGGTATTACTACAAATTCTTCTTCATTTTATTAATCTCCTCTTCTTCTTATCTCTATTAGATTAAAAGCATGTCTTGTATGGAATTACCAATATGATAGGACTGAGTGGGAGATATTAAAAGCATGTCTCGTATGGAATTACCAATATGATGGGAATGAGTTCGAGATATTAAAAGCATATCTTGTGTGGAATTAACAATAAACACATGGTGTGTTCCTGGAATTCAATGAGTGAACGATTTTACCAAAGTCTACAGAAAAGGCAACAACACTCACCGCAGAGAATGGCACATGCTGACTCGAGCTGTGAGTGAACCACAGATTTGACCATGCCCATGAAGGCAGCTGTCGTGTGTCTGCCAGAGAAGCTCCTGCACTTTGCCACAGCCCTCTGCTATAGTAACCTGCCAACAACAGTTTGCAGTTTATTTCCAAATCAAACTTTTTGTAAAAGAATGATGGGAGGAGAGTATACTGATCGACAGCAACTCTTTGAGGACTTCTTCATCTGCCCTTAACAGGATGGTTGGTACATGGTGCTGAGGTTTACAGCAAGGCTGCGATACTTGTGCCTTTCAGCCCAGCATGTTGAATTTCACAGTTCATGTAAGAGATCATCTTCATCGAACATCAGGCATGACCATAAGTGCTTCGATCTCCTCCCAAGTATGTCTCTAAGTGCTTTTATGCTCAACTCCCATTCTGTTCTGGCTGATGTAACGATGAGTGGCTCCTGCATGGTTTTCCTGTCTCGCAGCTCCAATTGGTACACAGATGGTATGCAGTCTATTGAGTCAAAAATCCTTTTCCACAAAACCGAAAGCCTCACAGAGTTTAGTCCTTCGAATTGACGACTTTCCTGTCTATAGAAGACCCATTCCTGTTAGTAGCACTGCCAGCCAGAGCGTCCACTCTTTCATTGTCTTTTACACGAGAATACTCTGGGACAAAAATAAAGGTGATTTTGCAAATTGCTGCGCGCTGAATCAGATGAAGCCACTGTTTACATATGTTAAATTTAAGCTAATCCTTAATGAGACACCTTTCAAAACATATTCATTAAAAGGTCGTGTCTATTTTTATTTCCCTAAAATAGAGCCCCAGAACCTTCATGTAGGTTCCTGAGGAGAAACTCTACGGCGATCTCAAACTGACTGCTGATTTATTTAAATATATTCACACCGATGCTTCATGTGTGCAAAGAAGAACTGCTGATGCATAATTTTCTAAAGTTTATGAAGATTTGCAACAGCACTGGCAAACCTAGAGAAGTACAGTCTCCCTCAGAAAAGCTGTAACCCAATGTCGATGTTGATCAATACAGTAACATACTGGTTGTAAACAAGCTGGATTCACTTCCTCATATGCCTGTCCTTGCTGCAACCATTTAAAATCAAACATAAGCAAGATTAAATACCGTATTTTTTGTGTACATGACGATGTTTTCCTAAAGTTTAAAACTGGGGCTTATGTCTTATATATGGAATGCATTTAAAATATTTATTTCTTAATTTTGGACTTTTTTTTTTTTTTTTTAAAAGGCGTTATCTCATAAAGAGAGGTGTCTTAAGCACCAAAAAAATACAGTATGTTTTTGTGTATGTGAATTATTTAGTCTTCAAAAAGCAGTAATTCGCAGTTGTCAAAAGTCACCCTTATTCACCAACTGTGTTCCAATTACGGGTGGTTTATATAGTGGCTTTGAAAACTAAAAAGCTCTTTCTCTTTTTCTTCGGATCCTTTTCAATGCTTTGGAGCTTATCAGTTTAATGATGTTTTCCCCACATATGCATTGATAAACAGGCATCTGATGGATGATATGGCTAATATCTCAGCAGCCATATTTTTGCCTTTTTTTTTTTTTTGGCTTAGAAAAATGATCCTGGTATCAGGAGTGCACAACTTGAGGGCTCAAGTGGCTCCAGCTACTACACCAAAAAAAGTGGAATGTGACCCTTCTAACCATGCAGAAGTTCTCTTTTTAAGTATCTGTTTATAAATGCGCTAGTGTTTCATCACCATTAGGTTTAGGGACACTGACGGGTGGGGGTGGGGGGATGGACTCCACTGCCCCCCCCTAACAAGCATGTTGTTAAAGGTGACCATACAGGGCAGGGCTATTCAAACAAGTTTACTTAAGTGCCACAATTTTGAACACGGGGAACGTCACGGGCCAGAGGACTGAGCTCCAGCAAATAAAGATAATTATTCAAAGACAACTGGCAATCATCCGCGGAAAACTTGCTAGGCCAGCGCGGGCCAGATTTGGCCTGTGGCCCACTAGTTGAACAGCCCTGTTGAAGAGGTTTGCTGAAATCTGAAGTGTTGAGCTAAAAAGCATATATATCACAATCTAGCTGTAAAGCAGAGAGTGTCATTCGCAGATGAAGATATTATTTCCAATATTTTATTAACGTATTTCCATTCAGCAGATTACTATTATTGCTACTGCGCAATAGAACAGGCTTCTCAAGCCCCACTCCACTCTGTCGAAAATGTGTGAGGGATACCCCTCTTACCCAATGTTTAGTGTTTTAAAAACTGCATGTATAATAAATATGATGCTGAAATGTCTGCACAAATGATAACTGAACACAGGACTAGACTATGAGCCTCAATGGCACAACAACATGCTGAGGATAATAAATAAGTCAAAATAAAATTAATGTACCAACAACTAAAGTTCCAAAATTATAACATATAGTTAGAAGTAACCAGAGAATTCAATAGCATTTGGTTGCGAAAGAAACAAAGACAACAGGAAAATCATTTAGCATTAAAATAACAGTATCAAGCCATACATACCTCCAAGCAATAGAAAGGGCAGCAAAAACAGTAGTGGCAGGAAGCAGCAACAACAACCACGTCGCCTCCTATAAGACCCCCCAAAAAAACATACATATTTACTATGACAAAAAAAGAACCATTGTTTTAAAAATTGTTCATCAAAAATCAGTCAGCTTCAGCTTATCTAACCGGTCACAGCCATCTGTTATTATTTACTACATTTTTATAGTAAACAAAGCTTCTTTAACCTTCATTGGAAAGCTTTTTTGTCGGTCAACATTCATTTCTCTATTAGGACCTGCATTCTTCTTCTTCGCTTTAAACACTGGCGGAAAGTTCTGGTTGTTCATCCACTTCTGGAGTTTAGATCTGTCCCAGAACCTCAGTGTTGCATGCACATCCATTATAGATCTGACTTATTTGTATGCAGACTGTTGGTTACTTGCCTCTCAGGCAGATGCACTACGACTTTGAAAGAAACCCCCAATTAGTAGACTCTTACGACATGCTTGTTAGAGAGGCAGTGGATCTATTCTTGTTTTCCCCATACAGGTGCCCCGGAAACCTGTTTTCTAAATAGCAATTCGCCCACAGTGGGTTCCGGGACCCCATCTTAAATGGGACAATAACAAACCCACTGCCCCTTAACATGCATGCATAAAAAGTGATTAATTAGGGAAATGCTTGCTGAAATCGGATGTGCTGGGCTGAAAGAAACAGATACTGCAGTCTAGCTGTAAACCACAACACAATATGCCAACAGCCCCTATAAGGGTGAACGCAGAAGAAAATATCCATTTTATATAGGTTATGCTCAAGGTATTTCTAAATATAATTGTTTATTATCACTGTGTAAAACAAAGACTTTGCTTGTACGTTTTAAACAAAATGTTACCTGGAGAGTAGTATATCTTCATAAGATCTACAATACTCTACAGTTGAGATCCGTAATCCTTTATGTTAGATCTACAATCCTCCATATTAGATTTATCATTTTTGATATATTAAAATCTGCAATTCCTCACATGAATTAGAATCTTCCATGAGTAAAATCTAGAAGCTCCCATATTTGATCAGCAATCCCCATATGCTGGATATTTAACTCGCGTTGTCAGATCTATATTCTTCTATGTTAAGATCTACAAACTGTCATATATTAAGATCTACAAATCCCCATGTTAAATCCACAATCCTCCATGTTAGATCTACAATCCTTCATATGTTAATAACAATCCTCAATACATCAAGATCTACAACCTCCACAGGTCTGATCTACAACCCCCATATGTTAGATCTACAATACCCTCTGTTAGATCCACAATCTGCAACATGTTAAAATTGACAGTCCTCCATATGTTTAGACATACAAACCTCCATATGTTAAGATTTACAAATCCCTATGTTAAATCCACAATCTCCCATGTCAGGTCTACAATCCCCTATTATATACAAACCTCAATATAAGAGGATCTACAATCCCCTCTGATAGATCTTCAATATGTTAACATCTAGTGTCCTCCATATGTAAAGATCTACAAACCCCCATTCGCTACATCTACAGTCTTCAACATGATAATATATACAATCATCATGTTATTATCTACAAACCCCCATTCCATATGTTACATCTACAATCCCCCAGGTTACATCTACATCACGAATGGGTGTAACATGACTTGGTGAGGCATGACTGGGTTTATTGTGGTTGGGTATAACACGACTGAGTATATCATGACTGGGTGTAACGTGACTGGGTATAACATAATTCAGAATAATATAGCTGGATATAATGTAGCTCTTTCTTCCTTACCTTTGCTTAAAACTGATATCCCATAATAGCAAGGTTGCTGATCTAGTAATCAACCAACTAGCCCAGGCTGCTGTACTCTCCAGCAGCCATTTTCCTGGTGCCACAACCAGTCTGCTTGCTGCCACAGTCAAAGGCTTGACAAATGAAGTGCTGCCATCTGGTAGAAATAAACAGTAGCTCAAATTAATGTAATCCTGGTGGTTTCACACATTTCACTCCTAAGTAGCACCTTTCTTTCGTCCTCTTACAGTCAATGCCGTGTGGCGCTGGTAGTCATGTCTATCCATAAGCTTCTGTCTCGTACACTTTCAATCAACTCTGACGCAGATGATCCTCCAAGCCATGATGTCAAATTGTCCAGTATCTTTTCTCTCGGCCTCTCTCTACCTTCCCTTCCCTCTAACTTTCCTACTGTCACAATATTCTCCAGTTTTCTCCTCATCACATGACCAAAGAATGTAGATTGTCTCTTTCTGATGTGAAAAATCAGCTCTCTTCGAGAGTCAGTTTCTTTCATGACATCTTCATTACTCTTTTCATCTGTCCACAGTATTCTCATCATTCATTTATCCTAGAACTACTTTATTTTTAAGTACAACAAAGAAAGGTTAGAAAGGTTTAAAGTCAAAAAGATTTACATCACCTCACCAGGTTTTATCTCATATGGATCGGTCTCCCTCAAAAGAATAGCCAATCACCTGTTGAGAGTGTTGCAGGAAGCATCAGCCTCGTAGCTCCAGCAACAATCCTCTGGGATGCTAATAAATCATTTGCATATTTACCCTCTGGCCTATTAATCTCCAAGAAGCCATTTAGTAAGCATTCCTGATAAGCTAATGATAATGGTTCTGTTTGCACCCGTGCAGTGTTTAAGAGGACCGGGGTATGATTATATTTACTAAAAATAGCACTTTTTTTTAAAAACTATGAAAACAATTTCTTTTTTAGCCATCATAATATCATAATGTTCTCTTAACCTTTAGTAATTGGGGTCACAGTATGAATCAAGGTTGCTGATCTAGTAATCAACCAACTAGCCCAGGCCGCTGTACTCTCCAGCAGCCATTTTCCTGGTACCACAACCAATCTGCTTGCTGCCACAGATAAAGGCTTGACAAATGAAGTGCTGTCATCTGGTAGAAATAAACAGTAGCTCAAATTAACGTATTTCTAGGGTTACTGTTGGGGAAAAAATTGACTTTTTAGAGAAGATCTTATAATTCTCTCTCACACTTTATAATCAGGGTCATGGTATAAGTCACTGTATTAATTATATTTAGGCCGAACAGACTGCAGTTTATTCCCCTCTCCAATCAGATTAAATGATTACTTTATTTTTTTTTAAGGCAAATGTAAATAAACAATTTGTTTTTAAATTTATCAGTGACTGATGTGAAATGTTTTTTTTTAAATGCATTTTTTGGGGGAAATTCCCAGGTTCATAGTTTTTTTTCTCAAAAGGGTTTCTGGTGCGAAAGGGTCAAACCTTTTTATGTGAATATATTTCACTCCCGGGTGGCATCATCTGCCATGGACCTACCTTATCTTACCTAGAAAAAAAAATACATTACAAAATATGTCATTCTCCCATATACTTTGGTAACCTGTCTTTACTGCTTGCATTTACCCCTTTTAGAGGTCAAAGGAGAGAGGGGTGTGAGCCTAAGGATTCAGGGTGTATGGCTAGTGCAGCCGCCCCAAACTGCGCAGTTTAGGGGTTTTTGTTGCTGTTGCCTCTGAGAGAAAAAATGTAGATCTTTTACTGAGGAACGAACATGTGTTTCTTGCATGAGAGCCCAGCGTTTTAACCACATTAGCCATAATTGGTAACAATAGATTTTTTAAAATCTTATAATCAATAATATATCTGAAACAATAGAAACAGGACTTTATCATCAGAGCACCTTGACCGAGCTTAGCAAACAAGTTTTTTTTCCTTGAGTCTTACTCTTCAAGTTTGCACTGTTGTGCTTGTATCTTTCAAAATCATGATGAAATGCCGTTTTTTTTTTTTAAAAACATATTTCCTCAAAGACCTCCTCCGACTGCTTGTTTGTTAAATTTATAAGTTAAAAGGTACAACCAACATTTTTAATGTGAAATCCAAAGATATAATACCTGAAAATGTGTTTGTAACAGTCGTGATAACTGAAGTGATAATTGTGGTGATAACTGTGGTGAAGTATGAGACGAATGTAGATTCTCTCTGGGAATGGTGGTTGTGTTTAACAGCAGCTTTATAATCCCAACCGGTCAAATCATCAACATCTAAGAAGAATGAAAACAGCACTGAGAAAATTAACTTTGAAACAACAATTTGCAAAGTCATCAAAATAAAATGGTGATTAAATGTTTATAGAAACGAAAGGCTGCTTCTGTCCTCCAAGTGTGTCCTAGCCACCTGAGCCTTCGAAGACAGAGCCCTGAGAAAATTATTGTCATGATTAGTTTAGTTTAGTCGATGGATCAACATCATGGCATACGGGTGTAAACCCACCTATATTTGCTCCATTCTACTTCTAACTCAAACCTGAGTCTGAAGAATCTCAGCCCAGATCCTGAAAAAATTTTTGGGTAGATTTTTAACTCCAAATTTTGCCTGGGCAGTCCTGTTAGGCTACTCTTTTGGATTTCCAACTGCCAAGGTATTTTTTACGTGCACAACTATACACACAGGCGTCTGGTCTTACTACCCAGATTCCAGGGAAAATAATTTGAAGTCCACATGAAAAAATCCCAGCCTTCACCAGGGCTTGAACCCTGGACCTCTCGAGGCGGATGCCATACCTCAAGACCATGTAGCTCCCAAAACTATTGTAAAGCCTGCTCTTACCAGCACCTCAAGTTTGTGATCACGCTCTGCCACTTGATGCCAAGCATTCTTTGTGGGCACTGTAAATGAAAGCTATCCAGCCATTTATCCTAGTAAGAATAAGTCGATCCCATTTTTCCAACACAAAGAAGAGAATGTGGTAACAGGATCATCATGGAAATAAAGAAACGTAACCTGTCAGCAACCTTCCGTGTTATAAGGATAACTGATGGTGGTTGACATGCCTGGCTATTTCCTCCCATAGGGAACTTAAGATGCCTAATTAAATAGATCAAGGACAAGTCTTGATGTAGGCTGGTTAAGGGCAAATACTCCCATACAAGAGGAAAGGCAGAAGAACAAGCAGAAAAGAAAAATATCAGGGAAGTAAGATATTAAATACACTACAACATGGTCTCATCGAACGTAAGGACAATACAATACTAACATCTGATGCTGCGCAGAACACTTTGGAGCTATTTTTAAACATACCCAGTCTTGGAGAACAAAGGATTTTTGATGAAGAGAACAGCATGGCCACATTTTACCAATAAATTTAGGACAGACAAAGGTCACAGAAATCTATTCTAAGTAAACATATTACTGAAATGCTCAAGGCAGCAGATGATGGAACTAGAAACTCAGTAAATGATCTGTTAAACAGTATATGAACAGAGAAAAATATCAAATCGGTAGTGGAAAGGAATTACTGTAAAAATTCTTAAATACCCTCGTACTAACTGTAACAAGTGGAGAGGCATTACTCTGTTATCAGTAATATCCAAGACCTTTTGTAAAATAATCACGTTTTTTTAAAGGAGTAATGGACACAATCCTAAGACAAGGTTTTTTTCGATCATGATGCCAATGTTCACCATCATCAAGTGCCTTGTCGACTGGCTCAAGTCCTCCCTGGTAATGTTAACATGACCTGATCCATTTAAAAGTTACTGAGATGCTGTTGAGTTCTTGTCTCTCCAGCTCACTTTCTGAATTTCGCCTCTTATTCTGGGACCCAAAAATAATTTTCTTAGCCTGATATTGCATTCTTTAAAAAAAAAATGTATCCTATGGTTCCACTGCATAGTTTAAAACATGGCACCTTGATTACTGTTAATTAACATGATAAATATAAAGTGAATTTTAGATAAAACTGCCAAAATGTTTTGAAAATTAAGACGCTCCTTATCTTTGGGCAGAGGTTTTTAACAAAATATAATTAAAACAAAATTAAAGAAAATATTATCTTGCTTATTTTAAATAAAAATATTTGGTAAATGCTTAATTTTATGTGTCTTAATACTGAAATTATTACCTGAGATTTCCTCCTCATAATCCAAGCCTGTGAAAATACAGACAGAATTAAAGACAGGCAAGGGTCAATTTATGTGTCTGTGAAATTTGAACATAATCCCTACCAACATTCACTGTGATTTTTTTCTTCTTCTTCTTAGCGTTTACTGATGCAAACTCTGGCAGAAAGTTCAGTTCTATCACAATATCTCCCCCCAAACAGACAGTGTCATATTTTAGGGGGTGGCAGATAACCTCTAGGAACTAGGCTGAGCGAGTCGTGGCCTAGGCTGCACGACGTAGGTGGGTTGTTAGTCCCAGGGGTTTTGGGGTAGTTAAAAGCAACAGAAAGCCGGGAAACTCGCTCTTACCACCACCCTTGAAAATATTGGACTGTCCTGTGACGTCCTCCTGGGGGCAGATATTGGGAAAGCACCTAAAGTTCTGACTATTCTTTCACTTCTATCAGTCTTGTTCCAAAACTCAAATCTTGCATGCACATCCATTTTACAGATCTAGCTTATTTTTATGCAGATTGTTGGTTCTCCACCTCACAGAAAGAAGCAACCCAACTTTGAAGAAATAACCTCTACTTAGTGGCCTCTTACGACATGCTTGTTAGGGGGTGGAAGTGGATCAATGGGGGTCCGGAACTTTCTGTATGAACTGTCGTTTGTCGTTCATCTGTTTGATGCATTAGAATCACATTTGTATAGATCAATCACCATTTGATGGGCCAAATTGCCAGTATCAAACTCGCCACGTTCACTTTCCAGAATACTTCCTGGTATCTATTTTAGGCTGAGTCAACCAGACAAGAATTGAGAAGTAGAAATAGTGACAAAAAAGAAAATGAAAAGTAGAAACAGTGCCATAAAAGAAATGAGATGTAGAAAGAGTGATATAAAAGAAATGAGAAGCAGAAAGAGTGACAGTGTTCTTACCATACAAATGTTTTAATTTATATTCTTGTTTGCTCCTTTCTTTTTCAGTTTGAGATTCATCAAGTCGGAGTTTTGTTTCACTGTGATCCTCAAACACTAACAGCACTCATCTGTTTCTTGTCCTTCCTGGCATCAGGATGAAGGGCGGAATTAGTAGTGGTTGTTGTTGTGGTTGTTTCCATGATAACGGTATTCCTGGCACGGCTCTGTTGCTGCAGTGCAACATCAACATAAGATCTATAAGATGAGTTGGAAACAGCATCAGAAAGGGCAGCTTCTTCAGAATGCGCAGCATGGCTATTTGATCTGTCGGATGTGTAGTCTCTGGAGTATCTTTGAATGCCCTTCAAATGGCTGCCAGAGCGAAGGTGTATCCCATCATAGTATTGGTTTTTGGCTAAGGAGAAAAACAGAGACACCCATGATGTCTATAATTAATGACTTAAAAATAAACAGACAGAAACAAATCTACTTCTTCTTCTTATCATGGCTTTCAGATATACATTCACAGACAAGTTCTTGTAATAGACTTCATTGTTTTTAGGAGTTCCCTTTTAGTTCCATACAACTTTCAGTACAGTGTTGATTCAGTGGGCCAGTATTCCCTTTTCTTAATGGGTTAAAAATAAGGGGACATTCTTGCAGGACATGTTCTGTAGTTTGCACACACAGCCCGCATGGACACAGTGTTGAACTACTTAGCAGAAGCCAGTGCATATGCTTAAGTTTGTTATGCCCTGTCCTGAGGTGTTGAATGACTAACCCATGCCGGGCAAGTAAGTGGTAGTCATCTCTGGTCAGATTCTGTTCACTTCTGATAGACTGGATGGCTCTTTTCTTCTCAAAGTATGTTAATGCATTCTCTTCCTATTGAACACATCTGTAAGTGGGAATAAATACTAAAGGAATACAGCTATATTACAGCCTAAATGGGCACTAGGCAATGTCCCGGGAAGTAAAGACACCCAGTGTGATGCTGACCACATAACCCACTGGATGCAGAATTATACTGGTCTATAAAAACACGAGTCAAATGCAACATATGCCTGATGCACCATTGGCATGAAAAAGGTCCTACACTTTTGTGTAAAAATACTCTTACAACAGTGAAGTAGCTAGTGCACGCACACCCGAGTGCTCTTCCCCATGTGGGTTCCAAGCTCCATTGTTTGGGGGTTGGGGGGGTGTCGTGAAATGATAGTCATTACGCATCGGTCTGTAAGGCTGATAACCTGTCTTACCTGTAATCTGCACAAAATTCAAACTTGGACTCGCCCAGAAATATATAGTCCCTTATATCTATATATATAGGCCTGTATTGGACAACATTATTATGTCTGCCTTTTCTGGTTACTTTAACTAAACTCCACTTTTAAATGTATATCTTTTGGGGATATATTTAGGGAGTTAATTGAGGTTTCTTGAAACCGATTTACTCCTTGCCCCAGTATACAAGGAACTTCTTTTGTACCAACGCCGGAAAGGTCTAACTGACGCCATTCTCCTGTGCCAGCTTCTCAAGCCTACAGATGTGTTAATCTGTTCCTGTATACTTTAAATTTTCAAGGCAATCTGGAAAAGGTCTCTCAGTTTTACATATGCTTAGGGTAAGTTAATTATAGTTTACGAGTACCTAGAATGTTGTCTGTAAAGTAGTCACTGTTGTAGAGAAATCCATATCAGGCTGTGTGATTTCACTTAGTTCTACCATTCTTGATCGCTAGAAG